ATTAAACTACATAAGAATTTATTTAAAAATAGTTAATTTATTATAAATAGATTTATAGTACCAAAAATAATGATATATTTTGTTTAACAACGTTGTTTGCTCGAAAACTTAATTATCTAATACTTTTTGATCAAAACTCATCTCGTTGTTACAATTTATCTCACGTTTATTTGAGTTTTTACTTAGTTTCCATTAAACTGTTTAAAACAGTTTAATGGAAAAAGTTTAAATTACAGTTAATATATTTAATTCACATCAGATATTATTTCTGAATAGATAACGTTATATGACAACAGTTGGGCCATTAAACCTTAGCCCAGGAAATTAACCTTAGCCCAAAGAAAAACTAATTTATTTCTATTGTTATATTAAAATAATAAACTATACTGATATAAAAGTCAATTTTCTAAAATATTTGTTTTTTTAGTAAAAACCCATGTTTTTAAAGAAAAATATAGTAATTTCTTTGGTCTAAAGTACATATTCGGGCTAAGGTTCATTTTCCCTACTAGAACTCTATTATTGTTTTTGTTGTTTATGTGTTTATAGAATTTAAAGTCAATTTAAGACTATAATTTGGCTGTTTCTAAACCATAATACATTAACACGTTCCATTTATTTTTTGTTTTATAAAAAATCTTTAATGTGAAAAAATTTAGTTTTGCAATTTGTTTTTTAAAATGACTGAAAAAACCGTTCGCATTTCTGACGACATTTTTTGCAACGATCTTAGTAATATTATAATAAGACATTATAACAAAAACAACTAAGATTTATGAATCAATTCATTCCTTCACTTTTTAAATCCGAGAGTACGTCGTGAATTAACACATAACTTATTAATCGTCGTTTTGTGTCGTTTACGCGCTCATTTCCGCGACACTTGACATAAAGAACATATGTTTTAGCAACGACGCCTCTTGCAAGCATCACGCCTCAACTTTGTCTTTTCGAATAATACATTTTGTTTAATTTTTATTATTCGTTAAACTCGGCCACGGAAACGTGCGCGTGAATGACACAAAACTGCAAGTCAAAAATAGAAGGTCAGTTATACATTTGAACATAACAGTGTTACAATCGACAAACTTTCCTTGATTTTTTTAATTTTTATGTGCTTATACTTTAACTAATAATTTCAAGATGAGTATTGATTAAAAAGTGTTTTGTGTTACAAATCAAAAAGGCAAAATAATTCGATTGGTATATAACAACAATTAGTTGTTTTAAAATGTCTTTAAAAACGGAAACGTGTTAGTAGTATATAAATTATGTAGATTTTGGACACCACCCATTTTACCTATATTTTCTAATAATTTAACTAAAATCGCGAGGACGCGTTTTCAAATCGTTTTCTAAATTTTCCCAAAATTTAGAAAACTTTTATTTTAAAAAATAAAATTGAAAACGTAACTATTTATTTTTCTAAAAAGTTTTAATATTAAATTTTTATTTTTTTATTTCCCCTAAAATGAACACTGATAAAGAACAATACAGACTTAAGAATTTCTATAATTTTACTAATACTTATTCTGAAGATGATATTTTAAACTGTTTTACTATTAAAGCTGGAACTATTAAAGCTGCTTCTACTAAAATAAATAATAAAGAATGCAGAAAAGAATTAATCGCTATGGACATTGAAACAAGAGATTTATATTTTCATTACAAAGCAAAATTGGAAGCTCAATTAAAAAGAATGGAAGATAACAAGAAAAGTACTATTAAATTAGAACAACCATTTTTATCAAAAGTTTTCAATAAATTAAACAAAACCGATAAACAAACTTTTGGTTTAATTAATAAAAAAGCAACATTAATCAAAGATTTAGATGAAGAAAAAATTCAAAAAGAACTTGACAAAAAGAATTTAGAATGGAGTTTAAATAATATTTCTTTTGATGATATTGAAGATAATGATGATTTAATGAGAGAAGATATGTATAAAAAATTTAATAGAAGCATATGACACGTCTGGT